CTGTGTTTATCTTGATCTTCTGTTTTTAATGGAAGGCTGTGTATTTCTATTTGAAACCTGAAAATTATGAAGAAAATGCATTTCAACTCAAAGTGCTTATTGTATAACATTTTTTTATATAATAAACAATAAAAATAATATAAAAACAATGTATTTCTTGATCTTTTGTTCTTGATGGAAATATGTGTTTTTCTATTTGGAACCTGGGAAGTATGAAGAGAATGCGTTTCATTATCGGTTCTCTAAGTGCTAATGCTGTAGCATTTCCTAAATCTCACCGACGGATAGAGCGCAGAGTTTCGACCGCGACGAGCACCATCGGGGCGCTCGCCGATGATGGCCCCAACCTTCACGTAGGCTGGTAGGGGAGACCGCGGCGCAACGGGCTGAGGCAAACCATCGAGCTGCTGGCTCTTCACTACCTCCACGAGGTCGAAATCACCGAATGACGCTGCTGGGGCGATGTTATAGTCAAACAGGAGGCGCGTGTTCTTGACGCTTGCGACATCACGCGTAGCGGCCTGTAAGAGCTGCTCCACGGAAATTTGATTAGATATGCTGTGTTCCTCGCCCGCAGCACTGTCCCTCACGCGAGGCTCCTCCAATGACTGCAACCGCCGCTGGGTTCCGAGTCCATAGTACTTGAAAGCAGCATCGCATATTTTCTCTGTTGCGGCGTCCATGGTCTTAGACATATCAGCAACTTTGAACCTGAAGCGTTCTACGGGAAATATAACTGCCAGCGTCTTTCCGCGTGGCATCAAATTTGCATGGTCCAGTCTTACATGCATGTCAATGTAGCACCGCTGTTTGCCATTCAAGAATGCTAAGGTTCCTGGGGGTAGGCAATCCGAATGAACACCTCGGCGTCCTGTAAACGATGCGATTCAAATGCTAAATCGCACGCTGCTGGGCCGGCAAATCTGTGCATAACTTTGAACTTAACAACGACGCAGAGGAGCGGGTTAAACATTGAGATTTACAGGTTCATAGGTTCGAAGATTCGCAATTCAGGGCTTCGGCGATTCGGGGCTTTGAAGATTGGGAGATTTGAAGATTTGAAGATTCGAAGATTCAAAAATTCAAAGATTTGAAGATTTGAAGATTTGAAGATTTGAAGATTTGAAGATTTGAAGATTGGGAGATTTGAAGATTTGAAGATTTGAAGATTTGAACATTTGAGGATTTGAAGATTTGAAGATTTGAAGATTTGGAGATTTGAAAATTTGGAGATTTGAAGATTTGAAGATTTGAAGATTTGAAGATTTGAAGATTTGAAGATTCGAAGATTTGAAGATTTGAAGATTTTTTTTACGAACCGACAGAATCTCCCAATAGTTTCAAATCTTCTAAATCTTGCAAATCTTCAAATCTTCAAATCTTCAAAGCCCCTTGCAAATCTTCAAATCTTCAAATCCTCAAATCTTCAAATCTTCAAAATATCAAATTTTCAAATCTCCCAATCTTCAAATCTTCAAATCTTCAAATCTTCGAATCTTCGAATCTTCGAATCTTCAAACCTTCAAATCTTCAAGTCTGTAAACCTTCGGACTTCGAACATAGGAAATGGGGGGTCCATAGAGGGGGGCCACGCGTATATATAATATATATATATATACTACTATATATATATATATATATATATATATACACGCATAGAGTTATTTAATCGCTTCGCTCATGCCGCCGGCCCTGGAGCCCTCTTTAAGGCCTCTTGGGGGCCTCTTGGGGACCTCTTGGGAGTCTCTTGGGGCTCCTTGGCGGCGTTTTGGAGGCCCCCAGGGCCTCTTGGGGGGCTCTTGGGGGTAGTCGATTGCGGCTCCCCCATCGGAGGCCACGATCCTCGTGAGGGGTGTCGAAAAATACCCTCCCTTGGAGTGGTCTGGTGGCTTCTCCCGGGCTTCTCTCAGGACCTTGCCGGGGTACTTTTCGTCCGGGGGCCCCCAGGGGCCGCTCCGCGCGCGCGAACTAGAAATATTGTTAACAAGTTGTACACACATAGATTTATTTCTC